GTGTGCTGGTCACAGTGCAGCGGGGGGAAGATACAAGCCTGGGGGAGATTGTCACCTTCTCGGCCTTCTTACCCATAATTTCCTGTGAGCTCCCAGGTCTCAAGCTTGGCCTTGCTGTCCTCCGTTTCTCCTCCTCTTCATCCCCATGTAGGTCTAGGCCCGCCTTGGAGACGGAACGCGGGCTTTTGCACAGATTCCTTGGACCGTTGCACGCAGTCCTCGTCGACCGGGTCAGTCATGCACGCAGCCTCAAAGCCCCGCTCGCGCATGGTCCACTGAAGCAGAGCTGGCCGCTGCTCCTTGCTCTCACCGGTGATGTAGTAGGTGGACTGCTGCGTCTCCTTCATGCCGGACACATTGTGAGCGAGCTGTCATCTCACTCCAGACTGGGACGTGTGACAGCGAAGCAGCTCAGAAAGGCGACTCCTCTGGGCTCCAGGCTCCGGGCTGTTAGGGAATGCCTCGTAGGATTTCTTGTAGTTCCCCTCGTCTTCCGCCAACTCAGAGGAGAGCCCAAGGCACTTCCTGCCGGTGATTTTGCGGCTGACCTTCAAGGTTTTGCTCTGTTGCAGCATTTCTCGACATATGTTGGGGGGCGGATCCTCAGAGCCAACCACACCATGGGTCAAGTTCAGATGTTCAGGTGTCAACTCAGCCCAGCCGTCCATGATGGGCACATGGCGAACATCAAGTTTAATGTTGTTATTCTTGTTCTCAAAGAGACCAGAGGGAGCCCGGCGGGGGATAAGGAGCACTGCCCTCACTTCCAGCTGAACACTGGCAAGTGCTAGCCTGCCGAGCGGTCTTCCCGGACACTGAGGCTCTGGTCGCGCGCTCCACGGTCCTCCTGTGTGACGGCATCAGGACATCTGGTCCACATTGGCTCAGTCTTGTACCTCCCGATGACCGTATTTCTCCTTCATGTGTTTGGTTTTCTTTTCCTTGTCCTTCCCACGGCCATCCTCCTCTGAGCCTCTGCCTGGCCTTCTTGAAGGTGCAGAATCACCTTAGTACCCCGGCCGGTGGGCTCACCGTGGTCAGCACTGTGAAGGGAACCAGCAGCGTGTATTATGAGCACCAGCACTTTCTCTGCCACCAAATAGAATAAAAGCTGAACTGACCAACCGTGGAGAGGTCTGCACCAGCCTGCGCTTTGGTACCAAATTATGTATGGGATCTGCCGGTCCTGCCAGTGCCTGTGTCCACAAGAGTCAAGGTCCGTTCCTGAGGTCAGGGTTGATGTCAGTTTTCAGCTCTTTGCTTTCTTGATGTTGAGAAGTAGCTCATTTTGAAAGCTGTAGTCTTTGATCTTCAGGAAGTGCTTCAAGTCCTCTTCACTTTCAGCACACAATATTGTGTCATCTGCATAATTCAGGTTGTTAGTGAGCCTCCCTCCACTCCTGATGCCACCTTGTTCTCCAGAGTCCAGCTTCTCTGATGAGTTGCTCCGCACAAGAATGTGTGGAGAACGGACACAATCCTGACACACACCTTTCCTCATTTTTATTCTTTTCCTGTGATTTTAACTCACAAAGAGGCTGGCTTTTCCGTTCACCTGTCCTGATGCATTTTGTTCTGTGACACGTGCTACTCTTCCCCACAGTGCAGGGGCACTCTGCTCACTCCCCCCCGGTGATCCTCATTTCCATCTATCCTGCCAGCCTCTCCCTTCCTGTGCTCTGCCCTGAACCCTGTACGGCTGCAGTGCACTGCCCTCCTGACCTCCTATGTTCACTGTTTTAAGGCGTGTACACCTCCCTGGGGTTATTGTTCACGCTCTAGGCTTGTATGAGACTAGAAGGATTATTTACTTGAAGCAAACCAGCGTTTTTATTTACATGTAAGCACAGCAGACCCATAAGCATGATAGTTCAGCGGTGGAAACCTCGCCTTTCATGCCTGTGGTGCTGGTTGGATTCCTGGGCAGAGCACTTCTTGGATCCTTTTACTCATTCTGCAGTAATGGTTTTACACAGTCTTCGTCCTTGTGAAACTGAGTTAGTTCACTCAGGGTAGTGCCGCTCTTCTGTCCCTTTCAAGTTAGCTAAAAATTTTATACTGGTTTACATACAAAGTTCATATACATTGTTTTTCACACCTGACCTTTCCCCTTTCCTTTACCAATCCCTCCTCCACCCACCAAATTGTCCAACCCTATGTTTGAGACCCCCACCCCCCGATCCTCGTATACACTCTACAATAATGGTCTTATACAGTGTTTGTTTTTTATGAGACGGAGTTAGTTCACTCAGCATAATGCTCTCGAGTCCGTCCCATGTTAGGTAGAAATTTACAAAATCATTGCTTCTGTGTGCTGCGTGGTGTCCCATTATGTGAATGCACCGTAATTTCTCAATGCATTCCATTGTGGTTGGGCCTTTGGGCTGTTTCATGTTCTTGCGATGGTGAATAATGCTGCTATGGACATTGGTGTACAAGTCTCCGTTGGTGCCTCAGTTCTCATTTTCTCAGGGTATATATTCCAAGCAGTGGAATAACTGGATCATACGGAATTTCTGTGTTCAGCTTTTTGAGGAAATGCCAGACTGCCTTCCAGAGTAGTTGTACCATTTTACAATCCCATCAACAATGTATAAGAGTTTCTATATCGCTTCATTCTCTCCGACATTTATTACTTGATGCCCTGCTAAATATTGCCACTACGATCGGGGTAAGATGCTATCTTGTTGTTTTGATTTGTGTCTCTTTTTTTTTTCTTATTTTTTTTTTATTTGTTTTAAATATTTTCTATTTTTCTTTTTTTTGTTTTACAAACCCTTGTGTCGAGGGCTGACTTTCAATAGATCGCAGCGAGGTAGCTGCTGTGCTACGTACGAAACCCCGACCCAGAAGCAGGTCGTCTACGAATGGTTTAGCACCAGGCTCCCCACGAACGTGCGGTGCGTGACGGGCGAGGGGGCGGCCGCCTTTCCGGCCGCTCCCCGTGTTCCCGGGACGGAGGGCGCTCCGCACCGGACCCCGGTCCCGACGCGCGGCCGGGGCCCGATTTGTGTCTCTTATTGCCAGTGATTTGCAGCATTTCGTCATGTATCTGTGAGCCATCTGATTGTCCTCCTCTGTGAAAAGTCTTTCCTTGTCTTTTGCCCATTTTGTAATTGGATTATCAGTCTTTTTCTTTTGGAGGCCTTGTAGGTTTCTGTAAACTTTCTTTCTTTCTGAGACCCTGGTCTGAGATGGTATTGCCAAATATTTTTTCCCCAGTCAGTAGGTTTCTTTTTGCCCTGTTGGAGAATTTTTTATGAGCACAGAGATTTAATCTTTACAAGGTCCTATTCATCCATTTTATCCTCTTCACATTGTGTATTTCTGGCTGTATTTGGCAGTCCTTTTATACCATAATCTAGGCCATCTAAGCTTGCTCCCAGTTTGTCTCTTATGAGCCTTAGGGTTTTGGATTTTATTCCAAGGTCTCCGATCCACCTTGATTTGATTTTTGAGTGTGGTGTGAGATGTGGATCCTTTTTCAGCTTTCTACAGGTAGCAGTCCAATTTTGCCAACATCCAAAAATCAGTGGATGTAGTAACAAAGAGAACTTAGAGAAGGAAACCAAGAAAGCAGTACCATTTACAGTAGCCAACTACAAACTGAGATAACTTGGGAATGAACCTAATTAGAGACACAGAAGACCTATACAAAGAAAACTACAGAACATTTCTATAAGACATTATGAAAGACCTAAAGAAATGGAAAAATGTGCTTGTTCATGGATAGGAAGACTCAGTATTGTAAAAATGACAGTCCTACCAAAAGCAGTCTCCATGTTCAACACAATCCCAAACCAGATACCAAATCCATTTTTCAAGGATATCAAAAGAGAAATTGTCAAGTTTCTTTGGAGAGGAAAGAGACCCCGAATAAGCAAAGCACTTCTGAAAAACAAAAATGAAGTGGGAGGCAGCACTCCCTGACCTCAAAACTTACTACCCAGAAGTAGTAACCAAGGCAGCATAGTACCTGTACAATGACAGGCACATCGACCAGTGGAACAGAACTGAGAACCCAGAACTAGACCCAGCTATCAGTGGTCAGCTGATACTCAGCGAGGAAATCAAGCCTGTCAGACGGGGAAATGATCACCTCTTCACCCTTTCCTAATCTTTAGCAGTGCTCCTTGTTCTGTTTGAACAGCTGTTGCTTGGTCTGTAGGTCTTGTGTGGGCCAAGTACGTGTTCTGGGATTCCCGTTCTTCTCAGTGTTACCATGATTTGTTATGATCTTCACGTTCAAATGGCTTGACACAGTCAGTAAAACACAGATAAACGTCTTTCTGATCTTCTCTGTTTTCTGAGAATTGTTTATGGGCACTTACAGCTTGAAACCCGGCCCCACCCTGATCCCTTCTTGCAGTCTCCAGTGTACTTAAACCCACAGTTTGAATCACTGTGTCAGTCCTGTTCTTTGAGGGTCTTTCTCTCCTCTCCTGACATCCCCCCCAACTTTCTAAGCATGCTGCGTCCTCCTGAGGACTCGCCCCTCCTGATGACGTGTCCAGAATGCCTGAGAAGACATCTCTCCATCTCTGCCTGTCAGGAACACCCTGGTGGAGTGTTCTCTTGGCAGTTCATGGTGTATTTCATAGTCTTTGTCAGCACCGCAATTCAAAGACACCACCTCCTTCTTTGGTCTTCCTTACCCAGTGGTCAGTTTTCACAGGCACATGAAGGAACCGAAAATAGCATGGTGAGTCTTTAAACGATGCTGGGTATCCGTTCTATTGGTAATCTTTTCAACTGTTCTGTCAAATTATTTTATTGTGATTTGAGTGAAGGTTTCTAAAGCAGATTGATTTTTCATTCACCCATTTATACATTATCACATTAGTGCCTATGATACAATCATGCTGTTTCCATTTCCTCCCTGACGTCGTCATGTTCGTGACTCCTTCTGTCCTTCCCCTTCCTGCCTGCATGGTGGTACCTGCATGGTGTTACCTTTGGGCCAACCCTGTTCTTTGAGCCTCTGTGGTTAGTTGTTAGGGATGGGTGCCTCCCTGGGGGAGCTGGTCACCTCGTGGGCCCAGCAGAGTGAGAACACCTTCCACGTGGGCAGGGTGACTGAGGACCGTAGGCTTGGCTGCCCAGCGTCCATCTGCACCTATAAGCCCGGCCTTTCTGTTTGTTCCACCTCTCCCTGCATTATCCAGGCTCCTCACTGGAATCTTTCGGTTTTTTATAATGTCCTTTGATATGTGACAGTGTTACTTTGGTGTAAGTGTAATTTATGGACTTTTTATTTGGTGTTTTGTCATAGTGGCTTCATATCTAAGAATTCATTGACAGGCTCAAGATCATGAAGTAAATAATCATGGTTTTTTCCTGTGAATTTCATGGTTTTATTTTCATTTAGATCATTGATTAATTTCCAGATAATGCAGTTTGTTGATAAATCTTCCTTCAATCCTGATGCTTCTTTGTAAAGTCCAGCCTCCAGAATGATCTGTTCAGCAGAGACTGAGACTCCATTGCCCACGTGTTCCTTTCTCCATTTTGAACCGTGCGTGTTCCCTTGCTGGTGTTCTAGGGATAGGTTTCTTGTGAGCACAGTCAAGTGTTCTGGGACTCCAGTTCTTCTCGTTAGCCACACTTTATTGTGATCCTCACAGCCAAATGCCTTTTCCTAGTTGGTAAAACAGAAATAAATATTCTTCTGGTACTCTCCGCTTTCAGCCAAGATCCATCTGCCGTCAGCAGAGATATCCCCAGGGTCTCCTCTACGCCCAGCTGTGTGTGTATGTATATGTTTACATTTGGAGCTCTAATGACGCATCAGTTAACATAATCCATCTGTTAACTGAAATGTTGGTGGTTCAAATCCAGCAGCTGGTCCATGGGAGGAAGATGGGGGGTCTCGTCCGTAAAGATTCACAGCCGACACCTGCAGAGACTCACGGGGAGTTGTAACCCAGCCCGCAGCAGTGTGTGTGTGTGAGAGAGAGAGAGAACATGTGCATGCACCCCGTATCTGCATGCCGGTGTGCTCACCCATGGATATGTGTGTGTGTGTGTGTGTGTTATAGTTAGGTGCCCTCAAGTTGGCTGTGACTCCTAGTGACCCGTTGAAAGACAGATAATCCCCTTGCCCGTGTCCTGCTCCATCTCGTGACCTCTGCCCAGCTGCAGCCCGTTGTTACAGGCACCGTGTCAGTCATTCCTTGTGGACCGTCTTCTGCCCATTCTTGGCCTCCCCCAGCACGATGCTGTTTTCCAAGGAGTGGCCCTTGCTGGTAAGATGCCCAAAGTGTCTGATGTGAAATTTCACCACCTTTGCCTCTGAGGAAGACCCTAGCTGAACTTTCTCCCGGATAGATGCGTTTGTTCTTTTGGCAGGCCATATCCTATTTGATATTTGTTGACAACAATTCAAAGACGTCACTCTGTCTTTGATCTTCCTTCTTTGTTGTCCACCTTTCATTGATGTGGGAGCTCAGGCCAGTGGACCACGTCCTCAGGAGGACTACAGACATGTGTATGTATCTGTGTATATCTATGTGTGCACAACATATAGCCTACAGAGACATATATACATACATACATACACATACATACATATACATACACACACACACACATGTCACAGGTTCCCATAATGCTCCTGGAGATGTGGTTTCTAGCTCAGATCCCAGATAAAGGAAAGTGTGTAACACAGATATACAGTATCAACCCTGGATGGTTGTGGTTTAATGAATTAAGTCATATGGGCTTTCCAACAGAGCGCTGCATTTTGAGGTTCTAGCCACTGTGTCTATGCATAAGACCTTCTTCAAGGATGAGTTATTTATTGGTAAGGAGATCATAGTAGGTAGGATATAAGCCCCACCCCACCAGCAGATAGGAGCCAAGTCAAAACCTTTAGTTGTGGGACCTGACTTAGAGGCCGGAGATCCTGTTTAAATTAATGCTCATGGAGGCTCAGTCCTTGCTTGCCTGGGATGGTCACTGCGTCTAGCCTGATCCAGCTCCACCGACGCTGACCTCTGACCTCTGACCTCTGACCACCTCACCAGTCTCTGCACACCTGTTCCTGGCTCTGTGTCGCCGACAAGCTCCTGAACCTTTCCATAAGTGGTTTTTGAGATTCTGTGAGACCTTCAGAAGGGAGGCGATGGAGCGGTCCGTTTGGAACACCCTGGACCTCTGCCTTCCAGGATCTTCTCCGAGAAAGCCTGTGAACCACCAGTGATGTTTAGCAGCTAAGCCCTGGAGCTCTGTGGCCTCGGGTTCCTCAGGGTCTACTCTCGTAGTTATCACTGTAAAGGAGCTCCCGGTGCAGTGGGTCGGAAGGCTGCTGTGAAGGTTGGCAGTGTGAGTCCCCGGGTGGCTCCTGCGGAGAAAGTCTGTTTCCTTGTGGGACAGGTCTTGGAAGCCAGAGGGCGCAGGGGATGTCCCTGTGGTAGCCCACGGGTCCTTGGTGCACCCCTCCAGCGCCATGTTCCTCCGCGTCCTTGGCACTTCTCTGTCCTTCCTCTTTACCCAGCTTTCAGGAGCACAGGAAGCGATTGGAAATACAGTGGTTTGGATCAAGCGACCCCCGGTCTTCACTGATGGCCTTGTGCTCTCACACGGTGAAGAGGCCCTTGACAGCACATTTCCCAGCACTACACCTTCTCATTTCGTGACAGCCGCTGCCGTGGGTAGTAATTGATCCGTGTAAAACGAAATCATTGGCAGCTTCAGTCTTTATCATGATGCTGCCTGCTAGTCCAGTGGTGAGGATTTTTGTCTTGATGTTGAAACGCAGTCCACATTGAAGGCTGCAGTCTGTGATGGACTTCAGTAAGTATTTCAGGTCCTCTTCATTCTCTGCAAGGTTGTGTCCTCTGCATAACTCAGGCTGTAGCTGAGGAGTCTATGAATGCCACCCCATTCCTCTTCAGTTTCTTATTCTCAGCATCATTGACCGTGTGATTTTCTGATTCAAAAGGACCAATACCCATCCAGTTCAGCTCACTGATGCCTAAGATGTGTTCTATTTTAATTTTTTTCCAACTTCTACTTTTCTTCAGTTCACACTTCATATTTCCCATGTTCCACTTGTTCATGGATGCTTGCAGCTGTGTATCTTCATTTTGAGCTTTGCTGCACCAGCTGGTGAAGATTGTTCATTGAGCGAAGGCTTTACTCCACCTGTGTCCTTACAGGGGACGTGCTGCTGGCCATGCGATAAGGACCTGTGCCACCAGCCCTGAGACACTTAGTTCAAATCTACCAGCTGCTCTGCTGGAGAATGATGGGTAGTTTCCGGCGGTGTGAGTTATTGTCTGAAAACTACTGGAACATCGGCTGTGAGTGGGTTCCGCCTTGACAGCACACAGAAACACAACAGCTACTCTGAGAACGCACCTCTTCCGTGGTCCCATTCCGAGCACCTCCCAGCCCAGGTGTCACCTTGTCCAGCACTAGATCCAGCAGTGTTCTTCTGATGTTCATAGGGGGGTTTTTTTGGGTTCTGCGGGTTTTCTTTTTCCTTGCTGTGTACTGTCAGATCTGATCCGACTGGCACAGGAGGAGATTGCCCCTCCTCCTACAGCAGAGCATTTGGTGGATTAGAACCGTGTGCCTTCTCGATTGCAGTGCAGCTTCTTGCCACTATGCCACCAGAGGTCCCTTGTTCATAGGATTTTGAAGACTTGTTCTTTAAGAAAGGAATGTCCCTTCAGCCTCTCAGTTTGTCTGTCTTATTGTTGAAGCTCAGCTAAACCCAGTCCACCATGATTGACTCTGCTAGAATTTGAAATACTGGTGACAGAGCTTCCCGGCTTTCCAGCTCCCTGCTGGCCACCACAGTAAGGCCGAGTCTGGACACGTGGGGAATGGCTTCTTTATGGGAGGAAAGACTGTTGTGTTCTGGCCATTCAGAACTGAGCCATAGCCGACCTTCAGTGGGTTTTCAGAGGCTGAAAACCACATAGGAGGAGACTGCCCCATCCTTCTCCCACAGAACAGCTGGAAGATCTGAATCATGTGCCTTTCGGTTGGCAGCACAATTCCTTACCAGCAAGGAAGAAAAATATTTTCCTGTCCTTCCCTAATCTACCCTTCACTTTATACATGTGTCCTAGTCTATAATTTTCCTTTCCTCCTAGAAAGAATTTCCTTTATTTCTTCTAAGATTGCTATACTGATGACAGATATCTTAAAAATGTTTTGTCTGAAAATGTCTATAGTTCTCCCTTATGTTTAAAGTATAATTTAGTTATTTGAAGAATTCTGGTCAGTGAAGGCTTTTCTTCGTTTCAACACTTTTGAATAATTTGATCTCTTGCTTTTGTGGTTTCAGAAGAAAAGTATAATGAGATTTCTAGTTCCTTCATTGATGTGCTGTATATCTCTCTGACTTCTTTGTGTATGGACCCTCTGGTTTTCTGTAGTTCCCACAAGGAAATGATGATCCAGATATAGAACTACGTCATTGGTTGAGGAATTCTTTCCTTTCTGCTGTGCGTCCTGACTCTTCTGGACCATAAATACAGAGAGAAACAAGGTTGGAATTAGTCTTAGCCAAACTAAGAGAGATGAGTTCTGTGAGTTAGAAATATGGTTCAATCTATGGAAGGGGTTACTGCCAGTCAGGTGGCATATGCAGACAGCGGGGGACTACTCTGATGTCCAGGTTCTAGAGAGAACACAGAGCATTGTGTGACCTGCCTGTTTATTCTCCATTCCCCAGGACTGTCAGTCTCACCCAGCCATTTGTTCACAGGGGGAAATACAGTGCTTGGCTTACCCTGGTGTTTGTGATGTTTCAGGACTCGGTGGTCTTTGAGGATGTGGCCATCGACTTCACCCAGGAAGAATGGGCCTTGCTGGACGCTCCGCAGCGGGACCTTTATAGAGATGTGATGGTGGACACCTTCAGGCACCTGGACTCAAGTAAGGATGGCTTCAGTTTTCCAATTTCCTCTTTAATGTTGAAATAAACTTGTCGTCAGTCATCTCAGACAGTCCGGGCTGAGGAAGGACACTACACTGGAGCGCTGTGTTGGACGCAAACTAAGATAAGCTGCTGAAGATGCGGCCGTAATGGGGCGGAGTTCCATCTGGAGAAATCAACCTGGAAAGGTCCCTCTTGAGCTCAGGAGGCTGCACTGCTTCACCTGTCTGAGCTGACGTTGAATGTTCATCACGTCTCTCTCATTTTCTGTGTGTGGGAAATGGCCTTGTCTTCTCCATTACCTCTTTAAATATTATTTTTGCACGTACATTGTTTGTAACACCTTTCATTTTGCTTTTCTGGTTAAAACTGAGTTTAGTCACTTTGATCTTCATGCATCCTGGAATGATTTCTCAGTAAACTTTATACCTTTTTTTGTCATTTACCAAAATCCTGGAATAACTAATGCCTCAGTCTGTCTTTTCTCACCAGTGTCCTTTTTTCCTCATGAAATTCCTTTCCTGTTTTGTCTCATATTATGACTCTACTTAAAATCATTTGGTCAGTCTCTCAACAGGACCATAATGGACACAGGTTGTTCACTGAAGATACAGTGGTACGATTCTTGAAAAACAACATCTGGCCATCCGTGCTAGAAGAGATTTTTCAGTTCCGTGGCAGTGAAAATCTATACCACAGCCAGGAAAGGCATTTGAGGTATAATAGATGTGACCTTGAGCAGTGCATCTGGACAGTCTTCTGGCTTATACTGTGTATGCATGGATGTGTGTTATGTATGTGGGAGTGTGTGTGTGTGTGTGTGTGCAGGTGCAAACACGTGTGCTCAGCCTAGCTCTAAATTTCTGTCATCACTTGATCTTCACAGCACTGTTCCCCAAATGTGAACTGGTTACTGAGTGTTTGAGGCTTGACTTGTGTTCAGTCATCTGGAAGCTCTATTACTTAGAAGGACTGTGATGGTAATGATAAGATGATTGAACCTGTGCAGCACAAGACAATTTAGGGCATAACGTGTACATTCCGTGTGCATGATAATTTTTCAAATTGTGGAAAGGGTAACAATTTCTTGTTTACTTTCAACAGAAGCTGTATGGTGGAGAACCTGGGTGCAGGTAAAGAAGACAAAGTAAAGGAATGTAAAGAAGAGAGAGAAGCTGGTCTGTGTGGAAGAGCATTCAGGGAGATGCCAGGTGTTACCTGTGTGAGAGGAACCCCTGCTGGGGTAGAGTCTCTGCATTGTCATGAGGATGGAAAATCTTTTGTGACTCATAGATTTACAGAACACCTTCGATTTCACACTGGCTCCAGGCCAGATCAGTGTAAGGAAGATGGAGAAGCCTGCAGTTGTCTCTCCTTCCTAAAACCTTGCTCAGGATTCCTTACTGGGGAGAAGCTCGGTAAAGATGACAGAAAGCCCGTTAGTTGTTCTCCCCTCACTGAGCACGTGAGAGCTCCCGGTAGAGACAAGCCATATAAATGCAAGGAGTGTGGGAAAGCCTTCCGTGACTCCTCCCTCCTCATGACACACATGAGGACTCACAGTGGGGAGAAGCCTTATGTGTGTAACGTGTGTGGGAAAGCCTTCAGCCAGTCCTCAAACCTCACCCGGCACGTGCGGAGTCACAGTAGAGAGAAGCCTTATGTGTGTAACGTGTGTGGGAAAGCCTTCAGCCAGTCCTCAAACCTCACCCGGCACGTGCGGAGTCACAGTAGAGAGAAGCCTTATGTGTGTAAAGAATGTGGGAAAACTTTCCGTGATTCCTCCCTCCTTACTACACATACAAGGACGCACAGTGGAGAGAGACCTTATGTGTGCAAGGAGTGTGGGAAAGCCTTCAGTCAGTCGTCAAACCTCAGTCGCCATGTGAGAAGTCACAGTGGAGAGAGGCCTTATAAATGTATGGAATGTGGGAAAGCCTTCAGCCTGTCTTCAACCCTCTCTGACCATGTGAGAATCCATAGTGGAGAGAGGCCTTACGCATGCAAGGAATGTGGGGAAGCCTTTAAGTATTCGTCATACCTCACTAGACATAAGAGGTGGCATTGTGGAGATAGGCCTAAGGAGTGTGGAAAAGGCTGTGGTCTGTCCCCAGTCTTCTCGGATCCTGGAAGGACTCGCAGTGTGGAGAGGTCTTATGTGTGTAAGGAATGTGGGAAAGCTTTCAGTCAGTCTTCAAACCTCACTAGACACATGAGAAGTCACAGTGGAGAGAGGCCTTATGAATGTATGGAATGTGGGAAAGCCTTTAGTCTGTCTTCGACTCTCTCAGACCATATCAGAACTCACAGTGGGGAGAGGCCTTATGTGTGCAAGGAATGTGGGAAAGCCTTCAGGTATTCTTCCTACCTCCCTAGACACATGAGAATTCACAGTGGAGAGAGGCCTTACGTATGTCAGGAGTGTGGGAAAACCTTTAGTCTGTCCTCAACCCTCTCTGACCATATCAGAAGCCACAGTGGGGAACGGCCTTATGTGTGTAAGGAATGTGGGAAAGCCTTTAGTCGGTCCTCAAACCTCACCAGACACAAAAAGAGTCACAGTGCAGAGAGGCCGTATGAGTGCAAGGAGTGTGAGAATGCCAGTGTGCCCTCAGCCCTCTCTGACCATATAAAGACATACAGTGGACAGAGGTCCTCTGAGTGTAAGACGTGTGGGAATGCCTCCACTCAGTCCTCTGTCCTCACCGCATGTGTCACAACGCACATTGAGACAGGCTTTTTGAGTTTAAAGAACATGGGAGAGCTTTTAGGTGTTTCTCACAGCTCACTCAAGATAAATGAACCCACACTGGAGAAAGACCTCGTGTACGTAAGGAATGTGGGCAAACCTTTAGGTTTTATTTCGGCTTCACTGTCCGTGTGAGAACTCCGAGTGGAGCAAGTCCTTAGGAACAGAGGAATGTAAGGGAACCTTTGCTGTTCCTTCTCACCTCGAGGAACAAGTCGTCACGGAGCCTTACCTGCCTCAGGAGTGTGAGGAACATCAGCGTTGGGGATTTCTCCTTCCTCACTAGGCAGGGAAGTGGTTAGGTTTTTAGGGAACTCATTGCATGTAAGGAGTGCGAGATTGTCTTCCCCCCCTCAGCCTTTAGAAGGTTCACCAGAAAGAAAGACTACAGGTGTTAAATCATGTTCTAAGGCTTTTGATTCTCCCATTTGTTCAGAAAGGAAGAAAGAAATACTATTCTGTTGTCTAAATTTCTAACCATGAGAGAAAATACATGGTCATAGAAATGATGGAGTATAAAGATGGTAATATGAGAAAGTTTACTCTCTCCTCTGCACTTTCCAGGATGTTGAAGATTCTATCTTAGAGGAACACCTTCATTAATTACTAAATATGTGGGAGGTTATATAGGAAATAAGTCATTTTGGCCTAGCGGTAAGAGGCTGTGCTGAAATACCAAAGATGTGTGGTTCAAGGTCGGCAGGAGAAGGATGGGCAGCTTTCTCCCGTGTGGTTTACCACTTCTGAAAATGCTCTGGAAGGCCAGCAGTGGGCCTCTTCCAACTCTATAGCAAACATAGTGTGTAAGCTGTTCTGAAGGTTAATGTAGGTTATTGAGGAAAACCCGCAAATCACCCAGTACCACATCACAATTGTTACTTCAAATTGTTTCTTTTAGCTTGCTTTATATGCAAGTCAGTGGTTTGAAAACAGAATCTGTTACAGCTATGGTGGCTTAATCCATGGAGATTTGTGCTTTTAACCTGAAGTACCTCGGTGGGCATTGGAACCTCCCGTCAGCTCCCGGGAGAAGGGCAGGTGGTCTCCTGCCATGTGATTGACAGCCTCTTTAAACACTTTTGGAGGATCAGCTGTGGGTCACTTCTGAGTTGACAGCGATGAGTTATTACCCTGTCACACTGAAATTTTTGTGGCATTGTTTGTAGCCTTTATCTTCCATCACAACTATTGATCCTGGCTGTACAGATAAAATCCCTCTTCCAAATGGTAAAAACACTTTTCTTGGAAGGGCGTTCCGCCATGGAGCTTTGATACAGCACTAGCCTAGAATCTGCATTTTGAGGCAGAGTTCTACTTTTAGGAATTCTGTGCTTGAAGGAGTTTGGGACGGGAATGACTCTGTGGTGGGCTAGTTGGGGTAACCTGTGGCTGCTCTTTGCTGCGTGCGTATCTGCTGTCCAGCCTGGAGGTTTTAATGAGCCACAGTCCAAGGTGAAGTGAGGGCTTCCTTTACGATTCTTCATGCAGCCCAAGAAGATGCAGAAGAGCCCTTCCTTCCACGTCATCCATGCCCCAGTCAGTCACCCCTTCCCCTCTGTCCATCCTGACCCCTGGCCCTGCTCTGGTTGTTCTGTGTGTTGTTCTCAGCCTCTGGGTCAGTGCTTTAGGATATTTTATTTGCTGTGCTGATGAATGCATTCTGAGTTGGCTGCTGCTTTAACTGCTGTGTTCTAGTATACCATTGTGTGCACATCTCACTTTGTATTTATCAGTGGGAGAACATTTACATTGTTTCCTCTTTTGTGAATAAATCAGCTATAAAGATTTATGCCCAGGTTTTATGGAAACTTTTCTTTTTCTTGCATCTGTTTCTATGAGAGAAATTGTTGTGTCATATGATAGATTGTGGAGGTGGTGGTGGTGAGTTCCGTCAAGTTGGAAATGAGTCATATGTGACCCCCTCCCACCACCGAGTTTCCAGGGGCAATAACTCACACAGGAATAGATTGTTTATCTTTTCTCCACAGAGTTGCTTGTGGATTTGAATCACATATCTTTTGATTGGCAGCTCAGTTCTTTAGCACCAACCCAACAGATCTCCTTCATATGGAAGATAGTTATGAAAATTAACAGTCACTGTGATAGTTATTCAGAAGTAACAATAACACTGAAGGGAGCTGTGCCACATTAGTTTCAGAATTCCAGTTGTGGCGGCTATCTGTAGAGACTGGTATTGGGAGCAGTTTTGCACACTTTGTGAACACTGGCTTTGGGGGTTATTTGCACAGCCATCACACCTCATATTTCACATTTGTTGAAACAATTGTACCTTTCATCTGGATTAGGTTATAGGCCTGAGTGTATGGGTTTCTCGGTGTGACCACACTGGTCAGACTGAGCTGGAGAGCTTGTGAAGTCTTGGTGGAGCCCAGATCTGGAGAGCCAACATGAAGTCAAATACTAAAGGGACCCTTTTTCCTGGAACCTGAGGGTGATCACATTGTTACCAGAAAGGTGAGTCCATCCTTCCTCCAGTGTCCTCCAGCCCCTGGGAACTGACCCATGAGAACTAGAAAGCCCACCTCTATTATCACAGACAAGCAAAGTGGACATTCTTGAGCAAAAGCAAAGTACAGATAATCAGGACAGTAGGAAAATGGATTGTAGTGTGTACATTTCCCATGATTGATTAACCCACGTGCAGCACCGGGTGTAAAATGGTGCTGTGTCAGAGCTCCAGATTCATGAGGAAGAGAGCATCAACTTCAGTCCAAGGCTGAATCCCAGAATGTCAGAGTTGTTTATTCTGAGGGTCTAGGCTTTATGTTCTTTCAGGCCTCCAGTCTTTTCACCCTGTCCCATCAGGAAGCCTGCTGTCTGAAGACACTCTGTTCCTCACTCAGGTTGGGAAGCCCATGTCAGCTCTCTGTCCTGTGCCATTGCCATCTTGTGCCACTTTCTATCACTTCAAGATGGATCTAGAAATGAAGTGATAGAAAGTTGTGTACATTGTTGTTGTTGTTCTGTGCCGTCGAGTCGTTTGCGACTCATAGTGACCCTATGTACAACAGCCTTAAACTGTGCTCTATCCCGTGCCAATCTCATTGCCTCTGACACACCCATCCCGATT